CTATGGGGTCAGTGCATTGGGGCCCAATGCAGTGCATTGGGGTCAGTGCTGTGGGGTCGGTGCTGTGGGGTTCAGTTGTATGGGGTCAGTGCTGTGGGGCCCAATGCAGTGCATTGGGGTCAGAGCTGTGGGGTCAGAGCTGTGGGGCTCAATGCAGTGCATTGGGGTCAGAGCTGTGGGGTCAGCGCTATGGGGTCAGTGCTGTGGGGTCAGTGCTGTGGGACCCAATGCTATGGGGTCAGTGCTATGGGGTCAGAGCTGTGGGGCCAGAGCTGTGGGGCCCAGTGCAGTGCATTGGGGTCAGTGCTATGGGGTTCAGTTGTATGGGGTCGGTGCTGTGGGGCCCAGTGCAGTGCTGTGGGGTGAGTGCAATGCTATGGGGTCAGTGCTGTGGGGTTGGTGCTGCGGGGCTCAATGCAGTGCTGTGGGGTCAGTGCTGTGGGGTGAGTGCAATGCTATGGGGTCAGAGCTATGGGGCCCAGTGCAATGCTATGGGGTCAGTGCAATGCTATAGGGTCAGAGCTATGGGGCCCAGTGCGGTGCATTGGGGTCAGTGCAGTGCTATGGGGTCGCTGCTATGGGGCCCAATGCGGTGCAATGAGAGCAGCGGTGACAGCGGAGCAACGGTGGTGACAGCACAGCCGTGGTGACATCAGGGCAGTGACGGTGACATCGGAGCAGCGATGGTGACACCACATGGTGACATCAGGGCAGTGACGGTGACAGTGGAGCAACGGTGGCACTGCAGCACTGGTGACATTAATGGTGACACTGGGGGTGGTGACACATCGGGGCGGCGATGGTGACAACAGAGCAGTGATGGTGGCAGTGGTGACATCGGAGCAGCGACGGTGACAACGCAGCAATGGTGACATCGGGGCAGTGACGGTGACAACGGAGCAGCGGTGACACTGCAGCACTGGTGACGGTGACATCGGGGCAGTGGGGGTGACATCACAGCTGTGGTGACATCGGAGCAACAATGGTGACAACGGAGCAACGGTGGTGACATCACAGCTGTGGTGACATCAGGGCAGTGACGGTGACAGTGGAGCAACAGTGACACTGCAGCATTGGTGACATTAACGGTGACATTGGGGGTGGTGACAGCGGAGCAGCGGTGGTGACAGCGGGACAGTGGTGACATTGAAGGGGTGATGGTGACGACGGAGCAGCGGTGACAGTGACATCGGGGCAGTGGTGGCACTGCAGTGAAGTGACGGTGACACTGGGGCAGTGACGGTGACATCGAAGGAGTGACGGTGACATCACAGCAATGGTGACATCGGGGCGGTGACATCGGGGCAGTGATGGTGACAATGGAGCGACGGTGACACTGCAGCGTTGGTGACGGTGACATCGGGGCAGTGGTGGCACCGCATGGTGACAATGGAGCAGTGACAGTGACAACGGAGCAGCGGTGACAGTGACATCACAGCCGTGGTGACATCAGAGCAGCGACGGTGACATCAGGGCAGTGGTGACATCTGAGCAGTGATGGTGACATCGGAGTGGTGACATCCGGGCAGACGGTGACAACGGAGCGACGGTGACACTGCAGCGTTGGTGACGGTGACATCAGGGCAGTGGTGGCACCGCATGGTGACAATGGAGCAGTGACAGTGACAATGGAGCAGTGACAGTGACATCACAGCCGTGGTGACACCGCGGTGACATCGCTGTCA